TAATAAACCTATGTGATGAAAAGTGACTGCAATTGAATATTGTATTGAGTCTGTAAAATAAATCACTTGCAACATCATTTGTTATGCATGCTTTGTGCACGAATAATATGCTCAATATGCTGGCATTTTTTGGTAGTTTCTAGAAAGTCTACTACACCATCTAGAATGTTGGAAACGGAACGTGAATGCCCGGGACGGCTTTACAAATACCCATAAGTCGAAGATGCTCCTGGCCAAACAAACTCAGGACGGGATCTACACGACAGGTAAGTCCTGCCTGATAGTTCTTTTTTGATTTTAATATATAATTTTATTGGAAATATAGAGATCACTCTTATATTTAATTCTAGTGAGGGGATTTATCGGAGCAGCAAAGTTTTTCCTAGGGTCTGTGTACCTCATGTATCAGCACATGGTTTAACCAAGACCACTCGAGGGCACTTCGGCCGCCACTGAGGAATTGGGTGTCGTGCACGCAACCCGAATTACAAGAATATAATAAGGCTTACGACAAACCTGATGCACCCGAATGCGGTAAAAGAGATTCACCAGATCAGCATAGAAATTTTCTACTGCTGCAGCCTCCATATCCAGAATTAATGCTGATAATGGTTCAAAGACCGACAAGTGTTCATGGAATGTTTCGCGTTTAAGGTTTACTGGTGGAATGCTGCAGAATGCGATCTCAAGCTGTCGTGTTACGAACACAAACTCTACTTTTGGCTTTATCAAACCAGCCCTGTCTAACAATGCGATTAGTTTGCCACCCTCAATGTCCTCAAGCTGTGACACAGCATTCAGGTGGTGTGCCTTCAGGCGACGCAACAAATACCCAGCGATATAGTCAATGTCATCATCTTCTACTGTTGTTATGTGACATTGTGTCAATTGGCAAATCGTCTACGGGCTGTAGTTCACACGAACCAGCTGTTCTATGAGCTCCAAAGCAACTGATGTTGCAATAGCGTTAGATCCTTAAAAATCAGAAACATTTGCTTGCCTTATATTCTCAATTGTCTAGGATTAAAACATTTGGTCACTCTGAATCTGACATATCTAATTAGTTGTAGAATGTATCTATGAAACACAAGTGTGATCTGCTGTGTGATGCAGACACACATGAGAAGACACACGAAAGCGCGAGCGGAAGAGAGAGAGCGCGTGGGGGTGCCGGCATCGCGCGTGAGGAACGACGATGACGGAGGAGGACGACAGGAGGGATATAGGTATGTATATACTTGTAAAGGTTTGGAAGTGTAGACACAGTGGCGTCAGCGTATGAATATAAATCCTTGCGACGGCACAGAATGAATGCAGATGTATATATTCATAGATATATAGCTCTTTAGCATGTATATATATACGGTCGCTGCGCGATCAGACGTAGCGATAAGGCGGCTAAGCGATGCCACATGTGGCACCCATATAAGTTTGTATTGGACGAGCGAGCGAGCGAGCAAGATTACGTAGTACAGCAAGGAGCAAGGCACATTAGAATAAACGAGCGACAGGTGGGGGGGAGTGGGCAGTGTGTAATGCATATACATTACGTGTGTATATGTGTGCGTGTGTGTGCGTGCGGGCGGGCGTGGGGGCGTTGCAGCCATGAGATGGTATGGACCCATTCTATTTCAGTTGGAACCCATTTAATATGAGTCTGGACCTATTTATATGAGTCCGGATCCATTTTGTGTCAGTCCAAACCCTTTCTGTGTCAGTCCGCACCCATTTTATGTGAGTCCGGACCAATTCTATGTCAGTCGATATGATATGATATAATATGATGTAATTATGATATGATATGGCATGATATTTGTGTCTTTTAGATATTAAACTGGTGCGCAGACCAGCATCGCTGGATAAACAATGGAAGAAAACCCTTTCCCCGATGGGAGCCAGCCTCTTACAAGACTTATTATAGTCTATCAACAGAAGAGGGGAAAAACAATGGATTCTCGAGGCATGTTTATACTGCTATCGACGCTGATACTCCCTACACCATTGTCCACTACATCGGCGACAAGACTCTTTCCGTGCCTTTTCCACATAAATACAGGAAATTAGGACAGAGGAACTTTTTTAGGACTGCTCCATCTGTCTTTAAGTCTATCAAAGCCAGTGATAAGCCACCCTCGACGACATACAAGCGACCCGTGACAGCCAAGTCCACTCCAAATGCACAGAAAAGAGTGTTACTTCCAAGAAACGTATCACAACTGCGAAACCAAAAAAGATTGGAAAATCAGAAGAGGTTAGGCCATGATGACCTGTACAACCTAATGGAAATGTATTATCAGATTCCTGACTTCATCTGGAAGCTTGATATTATTCCGAATCTTTGCGTTTTGGGACAGAAACAAATCTTTGAAGAACTCAACAACATTCTGCAGATGGAATGCGCTGACGCTGTGCAGCTGCTGTCGTACGACACGACCTTCAACATGGACGATTTCTACGTATCCATACTGTCCTTTAGACATATTCTGTTTGAATCATCTCCCGTAATTCCTGTGGCCTTTCTTATCC